ATCAGCGATCCACCAAATCCTACCAACTTGTCCATTTGTTCTTACTATTTTTCCAAAGGCCTTGTACCAAAGGTCTTTGCAGCTATCCCACATGTACAGTCAGGTCACTACATGCCGCACCTGCTTTGCCTCCAACCCAAGATCATTTAAGGCTAAATGTACTTCATCATATAGGTTTATAAGTCTAAACAACTGGCTTGCTAGGAGAAACAGCTAAATCACATAAAGCAGCAGAACTCCATACATGACCTACAGATCCTTGTAAAATATTCCAATGCTAAGGAGGTTAAGCGCATGTCTCCCATAGCTTGCACACACACGAGGCAAAAGGGTTCTAACAAGCTTCCGCCAGCTTTACTCCAACATCCATGTTGGACACTTGTCTTGCACTAGAGCCCTCCAGACCTTGGTATAATACAAGACTGAAACATGCTTGAATAAAGGCTTTTGCTAAGTCCTCTTTGTTATGGCCCTGGTTAGGACTATTGCCACCAAGTCTTACTACTGATGCACACATGGTCAAATCCTATGCTTACCCCATAAGCCCACCTGGGTGTGTTTAAGTCCGTTGTTGCCATCACAAGCCATGCCACCTCATGTGGCGCTCAAGAGGAGGGCCTAAGTTCAACCTTACTGCAGTGATGATAGCACCATTGGCACTAATTCTGGTTGCCAAATCTACTCTTATTTGCTCCACTTGGACTTGGTGGATGCCTCCCTGCATCATAGCTTTTATTGGTTAAGGACACCTCATTCCCTGTGGAGCAGGGCCTCCTTGGCCACTGCACTAGCCTCAACAAGCACGGACTCCTCACGATGACCCCACCAAACTCATCATCATTTGACTCCTCTTACTTGACCTCATCAATGATCATCTGCTTATACTCCTCCCAAACCCACCAGTTCATGTTCAATAGTGCATTAAGCAGGCCCAGGCCTCCTCATCCTCAACTGCTGAACCAAATTAAGGCGCCACATTTGTGGGTAGTCCTAGCTCAATGGTCACCCTTACTTATGAAGCAAGCTAAGAAGGCCTTTCAGGGTGCCTCTCTCTCTTTGGTCGCCACTTATAAGGTCCGGTCCCACTACCATGCAACACTCTCTATCCAATGGGTCTAGGATGTCTATTCCTCATGGGTTGACACCAACTTTCCAATGAGGTTGTAGTTTGCTAGGCACTTAGTTGTTGCCATAGCATGGGTGAGTCTCGCACACCTCGCCTCCTCAACCCAGCTTGGGCCCAACCTTGTAACCCAGAAATGAAATTGAACAACCGCTCCTCATCAGTCATGCTTTGGATGTCTCTTCACACACTTCCTCATCGAGCCCGTCCATCGAAGCTTCATAAAGCCTCATAAGCAATCTAGAGCGCATTGCTTGTCAAGAATTGATCCTTTGGCTTGCTTGCTGTCCCTAGAAAATAAATTCTTGAAAATGATTTCAATCTTGAAAATGAGTTTTTGGAACTTTCAAATCACATCTTGATTTGAACATCTAGATGAATCCCCATATATGTAATTTCACTATTTGGCAAGAAATTTATTTAAGCGTTTTGTTAGGTTATTTCCTGACATGAGGTATTCCCTTAGTTTACTCAACATTTTTTGACACTTGACAACCTTAATCCACAAGATAGTAACTTTTCCTGTAGGGGTATTTTAGATAATTAATCAAGGGTTAAGTAGAAATTTTTCATAAAAAAACATTTATTATCTATAGAGGGAATGACATCACCTTCATGGGATGTGATATTATATACATGGGATATGATGTCATGTACATGGAATATTAATTTTCTAATAACTGATAGAATGCCACTAATTTTTTATAGAAATATCTATTTTACCTCTTCTAATAACAAAAGATGCCTCATACCCCTACTCGAAAAGTTTTGTATTACAAAGTAAGGGTAATGAGGGTCCAATGAATGTTGAGCTGGTTAAGTGAAATACACCATGAGAGGAAGTACACTAACAAAACACTTTATTTAAAACAAATAGATAAACAAGACATTACAACAACCTTATATTTCTAGGGATTATCAATTACGCTAGAGAGAAAAAATAGAGTTGTGTGTGAAAATTCAATCCCTAGGGTTTTGAGCCCAGAATTCTCCATGGAAAATGCACGACTTACCAAAAAAGATAGAGAACGAAAAACAAAATAAGAGAGAAGGGACAAGGGAAATATCTGACAGGGATATTCTTCTACCCAAGAAGTATTTTGAATGTTAAGAAACAATGCCTTTCAAGCCCTAAGGTCTGGGCCTCAAAATTCTCCATCTCATCCCTGTCTTCTATCCAATTAAGGATCATAGGATCCTTTGAATCTTTTCTCAGCAATTGAATCAAACCCAACATTGATTCTTGGGTTCTCTCACAAGAAAGGGTTAGAAGCATCAAAACTAAATGGTGTTTCTTGCTTTCTCTCAATGGGAATTGTTCATTAATAGTTCATGGTTTCTCTCAATTGGACATGGGTTCAATGAGTAGTCACCAAATGCTGATTCAAGCTTTCTCTCACTAAAAAAGGTTTCATTAAAAAAGGTTTTATAAGACGAACATTGGATGAAGAGCTATGTTTTCTTTTCACTAGAAAATGGAAATATCAGGGCTCAAATGCTTTAAACACCTGATTCCCTCTCAATTATATAGTCAACGTAAAGATTGGGAGCCTTTCTCTCTCTTCATCTAAGGATGAAATAAAGGGTGGTTAACAAAACCAGTGAAATTGACTCTTCTCTCTGGGTTTTCTCTGAGCTCTTGAATAGGTGTATAAAAACAGTTGCCTGAATAGGAACTGAACCATGGTCCCGTATGGAGCAACCAACAATTTTTAATCCAACAGGAGAGAGAGAGCCTTTGCTTGCACATAAAGTGGGAGATACCATTTGGTCCACACCCTTGTTTCTCTCTCTACTTACAAAGGGGGGAGAGGGAGAATCTCTCTACCTGGAAGGGGGGAGATAGGGAGCATCTCTCTAACTGCAAAGGGGGGGGAGAGGGAGCATTTTCTTGCACATAGAGTCATGACTAGCTTCAATTGCTCTTAGAAGGTTGTTGACACACTCGCATTTTGGCTGAGAGACCACTAGCTATGGTCATATAATCACACTCTAATACCAACTGCCGCAGAGCCCAACTTTGCAGATAGTGAAACCCTTGCAGTGCCAACCAAAGCCACACTAAGCTGAGTCAAAGAAGCCCCAAACAAGTATACAAGAAGAATGGAGCAAACAAGAACACAAGACATGCACAAGTTATAGACAAGAGCTATAACCTACTTTTGTTGCTCTGTATTCGTCATATATAGCCACAAATGCCCCTTAAGGATATGGATAAGGGGTTTATAGAGCTCTGAGTATGTGCGCATACACACACACTCAGTCTCATTTACACAGCCATTAAGGCCTGCACTACTATTACATTGCCCAGTACCTGGTGTGGCAGATACAACTGACCATGCCTTACTATCAATGGTTGTGACATGGCTCATTAAAGGGGGATGGCATTTAAGGTTCAAGGCAAAGCAATGCATAGGTTATTATTATTTATGCATACAAATTCAGACATGCATGGCCATCACGCTGCTGTTAATGCCCACCTACACCAGCTAGATGTGCACTCACCCTCGCTCACATGGCCTATGGCTGTTAAACAAACCCATGTCTGAGTCGATTGCACAATTATTTTCATAATCCATGCTTGACAGTTAGGGTCAACACACCAGCCTAGCAAGGTACATGGTCATCTACCTTGGGCACATGGAACATGCCCGTACCTGGTCAAGTTATGCTCCCCTGGTTCGACTGACCAAACCTCCAGGAGGTCGTCTCAGTGGCCTACCAAGTGCCACCGAATTAATTGTTTATCTACATCATCATGCCAAAGCTTGCATCAAGAGTCTTTACCACTAGGGCACGTTTGCAAGCACTCACGCAACACATCCTGGCCTAGGTTGGCCAAGGCTGAAGTTACTCCATCCAGTTTTGTCGGTCTAAAAATTGATCTATTATGAGAGATAGCTAAACCCCCAAAGTAGCACAAGCCCGTATAGAGCTTGTGTTCCTTCGTGAAACGTTTCATATCTAAGGAGGTTTCACATGTGCCTCACTTAGCATGCATGCATGATGCTAAAGAACGAGGTCTAATTGCAAGCCATATGTGTTGCTTGAGGATATGCAAATGATTGTTTGTTGTTGATGGCAAAGGTCTTCTTTCTGCTGAGAGCAATGTCAAACTACTTGGCTCGGGATTGGCACTCGTCCCTGGCCTGAGTTGAGTAACTTGGGTGAAGCCGAGTGGACTCACTCGAAATACTTTACAAGCATGGAAATGCCTTAACAAAAGGCAAAATAAAATAACAATCCCAAAAAAGCAAAAAAAGGAAACAAGGAAATAGATTTTGGGGGAGGGGGAGGGGGTGGGGAAGAGAGAGAGAGAGACAGCGCATTTGGGAAGAGCGCCTACATAGAGAGATGAAAAAGGGGTGTGGTCTTTTGCCACCCCTTTGGAGAGAGAGAGGAGGTTGAGGGAGAAAAAAACAAAAAGGGGGGTGAGAGAGAGATGAAAATAGGGGTGTGGTATTCTGCCACGCCTTTAGAGAGAGAGAGGATGGGGGGAGGGAGAGAAATAAAAAGGGGGGTGGATTTCTGCTCCATTTGAGGTGGAGAGAGAGAGAGAGATGAAATAAGGTGGGGGCAGAAATCAGCTCCCCTAGTACTTTTTTCAGTAATAATACTTGGGCGAGTAGCATAGAGTCCCATTTGAGTACTATAGAAAGGCGATTTTTGCCCGAGTTCTATAGCACTTAGTCGATTCAGTAAAATACTCCTTTGAGTACATGGTCCCACATACCCAAATGTGCCTATAGGAGCGCTTACCTCGACAACCTCGGGGCCAAGTAACTAGGTGGAAACCGAGTGGACTTGGCTGAGTCTTTGAATACTGAGTCCAGAGAATATTAGAAAGAAAAAAGTAGGACAGATATGGGTTTGCAAATAAGGAAAGAAATAAATCATACCATTTCATTATTAACAATCCCATATGAACATGCAAAGAAATTAGACAAGAAAAAGTTAGGCCATTAAATTCTCTCTCAATAGAGTTGATAATCAATTATCAAAAAAACCTTGATAATCATTCAAGGTGCCCCATACCCTCTCTTCGACTTCTTCCCATGATGTAGCTTTTCGTAAGTCCTTCCAAAGGTTGAATATTGCCCCCAAAACATTATCCTCGTGCAAAATGCAGTAACACCTACAAAAACTCAGCCAGAAAAATCAATCAATGCTCTATAAACGCGCACACATAGGCACACTCATCAACCATGATTGCATAGAAAATTTGCATACATCAAGTTGTACTCAAGGATTATGCACAGACGGAGACATATAAGATGGACATTTAGAAGCATGAAGGAGACCAAAAGGGAGGGAAAGAAGAAGAATATACAAATCAACGGAAAGATATATTATGCATCCACATACATGATATGGTAGGAGGTTCGTCCAATCCTTTTATTGTCTTCTTGACTATTTGAAGTCAAGTTGGCTTCTGACCTATAGATGAAAGGAAGCTTATAACTTTGTAGGAAGCACCTAAGCAGATTGACATCACCTCTGAAGACATCCAGATGTATGGGTATCAAGTCACATAAAGGATCCCCTGAATAAGCAAATCAAGTGAGAACTAATAGAACTGATACAATAGATTATCTGAAGGAGAAAATGATGTCTATATCTATGAAATAGATTTAAGCATCTACCATAGTACTCATGAGTTAAAACAAACTTCCAGAATTTATAAAAATGCATGAAACATAAAAAGTTTCCAATACCTGTTTCCTTCGAGCATAGAAAGGAACGCAAAGAAAAAGAAAAATATGGGCTGAAACCAGATGAAACTTTACTATAACATTCAATTTCCAAAAGGGTTTTTCATCCATTGATAGATATTAACTTCTCCATGTGGCTAGAACTGAATCCCACAATCTTCTTCAGCTCAACAAGAAAGAAGCTTTGGATCAATCCAACTTGACAACCCAACTTGCGAGTTACCACTGTAAACGAATCCACCGAACCCAAATCTCAAGAGGGTACAACCAAAGTCTTCTATAGCTTAGCTGCCTGGTTTGAGACAGACTTGTAACATCTAGGAATTTAATTTGCCTGCTAAGACATTTTAAAATTATGGCATTGGCCCCGTGAAAAAAATTAGAATCATACCTTAAAAACCCGCTGCAAAAGCATGTTCTACTGCAGGAAAACACTCAAATTGATCATCTCCATTTCAACAACTACGAATATGGGAAAAAAGGATTTCCATGCTCTAAAAATAGTGTATCTTACAACACATTATCTGGGATGTCCATTTTCAAGTGTTCATAGATCTGCCAGATCTGCATAACTATTGGATCTTTAAATTTTATAATTACGGATGAATTAATTTTTGGCCATCATAGGGGTTTCTGGCACCAGAACATGCATTTTCTAGAGAAGTTCAGAGGCATGGCCTTGCCCTAAATTTTTCTCATAAAGCCTAGGCCTGATATTAACTGCATACTTATAAAATAGTAGACTACCCTCAACAATATAAAGGTGGGAGGCCATTGATCCTCATTATTCCATTGTAAGGAATCCCGCACTTTGTCCTAATCATGTCCCAGTTAAAAGCTTATGCAATGAAATTGAATGTAATGAAAGTTAATATATCCTTGCCTCAGTCCCTAGAACTTTGAGAAAACCTTTTAGAAACACATTCACCATCACAAAAGCAAGCAAAAGATGCATGTTGATCTTCATCAACTCCACCCAGCCCTAAATGCCATTGGGAAATATTCCAGAAACTCCAATCATTGCAATAGCCATGAGCAAGTCTACCTTACATGACCTCAATTTCCTTCCTAATTCCTTGAATCTGAGCATGATTGTGGAACCAGTTCTCCACCAAAGATAAAACAACTCCTTAGATGATCATTTTGCCAGGGAGATAAATGCTCCCAAAGGTTTCCCTTGGGTTTACTTGGAAAACCTTCACAGCTATTATATACAGATTACCAGCCAAGTCAATAGGTCAGATGTTGTGAATGTCCTCTACCACTTTACTTATGATCACTAGGGCGTTGAATTGAATTAAACTGCATCTTGATCCAAACCATAATTATTGGGATTGATACTGCAGCCGGTTCCGCAATCAGAATGGATGCGAGGGATCATGAAATGCTAGAAGGTCACTAGGGTTGGAATTGCTTCCCTAAACCCAAAATTTTACTGGGAATATGTTTCTAAGCTCAATCCCAACCTCGAGAGGTCAAACAATAAGTAAGTCGAGCTCTATTTGATAAAAAATCAAGGTTTTCGGGTACATTTAACTAGGGTTCCCTAGGTCGAGAGAAAATTTGTTTTATATTATAAATAATTTATAAAATTTTAAATTCAAAATTTTGTAAAACTGTAAGAGGTCCAATTATTCTATAATATTTTCATATTTTGTACTCACAGTGTAGTTAATATTTTAATTAAGTAATAAAATTTTAAAGAAATTGAAATTTTATAAATTTAAAAGATCGAATCATTATATAATAATTTAAATTTTGTATTCTTTGAGTGTAGCATATGACCGTAACATAATAACAATCATGGTCATCCTTCTCCATTGAAAAATGTGTTAAGATAAGCAATATTTAAAAAAACGAATCTGTGGGTTGGATCTCTCACCCACTGGGTCTATTGGCAATCCACCCAAATAAAAAGATCATCATATATATAGTGTAACTATATTAACTATTAGAAATAACTTGAAGAGCCTAATTGGCTAGACCTTGTGGTTAACAACCACAGGGTCAGAGGTTTGAGTCTTCCCCTTTTTTGAGGTTAAAAAAAGAAAAAGAAATAACTCTCTCTCTCTCTCTCTCATCTCTCTCTCTCGTCTCTCTCTTTATATATATATATATATATATTAACTGAAATGTCGATCCAGATCAAGAAGGGGCACGATCTTGGGCAATTCCCGATCCAGATCGGCAATTTTTAAGCGCTGAAGATACATCCTCAAACTGAGGTTGAGTGAACATCATCAGTTCCATGTCTCCCCAAATCCCATATTCTTCATAATCTCCAACAAAATACCTCATTCCACTAACTTGAACCCCAGGGTTTGAATTTGTGACCTGTTATAGAGTCCAAGAGGTACAATATAGTCTACCACCATCAAAAACCATGTGTGTGAACAAAATATGCAACTAATATTTATTATATAACACCTAAAAGTGTTGAGTAATTATGTAAAATAGCCATTACTTAAAATTCAGTTGGAGCTCAAGGTTTGAACTCATGACCTGTGAAAGAGCCCGAGAGGGGTAGTAGAGTCCACCACTAAGGGGAACTTGATTCCACATTGGTGGAAGCTAGTTCAGCTTACTGATGAACTCTTGGATATGGTGTTAATGAATCTGGAACCCTTATAACTCAGGATCTCTATCACTAATAGGAAGGATCAAGATCCTAATGTGTATAAATCACATAGGAGTGATCTCCCTCCCTGAAGCGTAGGAGTGAGCTTCCGTAGCGGGATTAAACCCTTGGTCTGTAGATCCCAATATCTATGATCCAAACTTCTAGTGAGTTCATGAGAAACCTCCATCATGTAGCCCTCACCACATCCAAACATTCTCGAAAACATGCCTATTAAATCCATCTACACTCAGGGTTCTATCTTTTCCAACTTTGATATGGCTTCAGACTACAATTTTAACCTGAGCTAAAAAACTAAAACTCAAAGAGGACAACATTCTCCTAGCTATGAGTTTATTACATGCCCAATTTCATTCTTGGTACATACACTATCCAGTATGCATGGGTACCTCCTATATAACAAGAAGCTTTTCCATCAATTTCTTTTTTAAATTGGAAAATGAATCACATAGAAAGAAGGAAATAATTTTAAAAATAGAGCATGCTCAAACTTTTGTATCAGAATCAGATGAATTAAGAGATTTGTTTCTAATGGTAATCTAAACTTTGAAAATTAAAAAACTGGAGATCAGTGGGGGGAATGTGAGGTATAAAAGGTTTGTCTATTGATGTATTAGAATCATCAATATTATATCAATGTGTTCACACACATGAACTTTGGCACGAGGAGAACAATTCTTTTAATTGAGTGGGTTGCTCAGAAGAACATAAAAAGAGACAATGCAACTTTGTAACTGTGTGCGCAAGTCGCACGCATGCATGCGCAAACACACACACACATTCACACAGACAGAGACACACACATGCAGAGAGAGACAGAGACAGCGAGCCTATCCTCAATGAAACTCATGCACAAATATCATGTTACATTTGTGCCATCTCATAATTTCAAGCTATTCTGGGTGAGAAAGCATGCGCACTTATCCCCAATGAAACTCATGCATAAATATCATATTGTATTTGGGCCATCTCATCATTTCAGGTTGTTATGAGTCTGACATTATAAACCAACTAATGCCAAATAAAATTCAGAAATACCCTTGAGTAGATTGTTATGCCAAGGAATAACTTATTCTGAAATATTTAAAATAATAAAATATTAACAGAAAGCTCACCAATAGATAGATCACTGAAATCGAGAACATAGCTAGGATGCCATTTCCTCACTTCGATGTCACCTGTATCGACTTCCATCAGGTTATTCCCCACCAGTCTTGCATCTGAGTCCATAGTATCGGAGAACTGACTAGAAGATGATGGTTCCATTTGAATATTATCATCCATAATATCTGAGTGTATCCAAGTAGGAGCCTTGCATCCTGCAGTACGACCTTCATTATCCTAAAACATAAAATTTGTAGGTGTCAATTTGTAGGACAGATATTTATTATCAAGGATCTCAAAGCATGATGATCAGTGATGAAACCTTATATTTGCTAATCAGCAAAGACACATCGTGTGGGAGATACTCTTCAACTTTCTCTAACAAAGTGTTCGGTATATCGCCCCTACATGTAGGAACCATGTGTCAGAGCTAAATTTAATCAACATAAAACATCGGAGTGGCAAAATTTAACAAGAAATCCAACACGTTCAGGTATTGCTTTAATCAAAACCATATCAAGAGAATTACTAAGTTCTTTGCAGCAATGTAGCTAGATAATTCTATGTATTTCAAATTTTAATTTCGAAGTAAGATGAATTCCCTTAGTAATTGACACAACATCAAGATAACATAACAAAATTAAGAAAATGCACATTTCTGCAGTCAAATACCTATTTTGATTCCATTTATATAAACATAACCATAGTAACAGCTTTATTGGAAATCACCATGCTTTTGGAACCAAGGTTAGCTAGCATACATGTTACCAAATTGACAATCTGCAGAAGAGTATTCTACAAAGTTCGAATCATTATAGCTGTAACATAGAAGGAATATTTACTAATCTTTCAATACAAAAACATTATAAAATTTGGGTGATAAGCATCCTTTACTTCTTTTTCTTTTTGGGTCATTCTCGTATCTTTTCTAATTGTTTTGTTCCAAACAATGGAGATTGTAGTCCAATGACTAGTAGATAGTCTAGAATTCCAATATACGATCATGCCTGAATATCTATTTTTCCAACCTGCCAAGCCTACAACAATGAAAATCTCACAACTTGGATGTCGGGTTAGACATGAAGCGGGGGTTGTGTAGGCTATCCGCGATTCAAACCTTGGATGTCGAGTCAGACATGGACATCCATAGTTTGTATAAATGATGGGATGATAAGTTTATATATGTTGTGTAATATGGTACATGTGCAAAACTGAAAAGGTACATGTACCATGATACACTTTGACATAATTTGTAACAGATACCAATGCTTTAAAAATTGCCGGGCTGGCTTAGAACCACCAGAGCCACATTGGAATTAGTCAGGGACCAGTACGAGTACGCCATGGAATTGGGACCTCAGACTAGTTCACCCCAATAATCCTTTCTATAAGCAATATGTCATAAAAACCATTGTTATAAGATTGAATTGTGAATCCTAAACCTTTGTTTATAAGTTTTAAACAACTATGATTCAAATTTTACAATTTTTTTGTTTTTAAGTTTCACTGAGTCGGCTGAGCTGGGCCAAGCCAGCTCATGGAGACGGTCGATCCGACTCGGAACTAGTGGATGATTGGTCCGAACTACCAGTTCAAAGTTTAAAACACTAACATATAAATGCCATACTATGTCAAATTATATAGTAGCAACATGTCTTTATGTGTTACAATTATAAGGTACCCTTATACGACACACGAGAAAAACAGACCTCGAAACATCAAAATTTCCAGCATTTGACTTGTGAAAATGATGCGTGTGACTTACAAAATATTTCTTGACCATAGAAGTAGCAGAAGAGAAGCTTTACCATTTAGCTAGGCGAGTCAAGACATTTTTCTGCCTTCTCTTCATTATTTCAACAAACAACTCCCATTGTAAAGGTATAAAGCTTTCATTAACTGCTTGAAAATTGTTCTCTAAAGGCACCTTACTGCCCAATTCTTCATCATTGACACATGCTTTGTTCTTACCGATGTTTTCTGCATCCTCCAAGGACAGGGGATGATATGAATTTGGAAAAGATGGCAATGGAAGTAAGTGAAGGCAGCGAACTTGATCACCCAGAAATGATGCTAAATTGAGAATATCATTCCATGACAGTCTATCTCGTCTGTAGTTCAAAAAATAATTTCAGAAAACCCTTCACTGAGGGATTGAAAACTTGACCCCAAAAAAACGAATCAAATAAAACAAGAAATAGACTAATTCATGATGGACGAGAAACAAATCACTCTGATAGATTAAGTACGAGGAATTTCAGAACTTACATATGAGCAAAAATGTCCCCATCACATCTTTTTGTGATCATGTAAGGCCATATTTTAGTGCATGAACTAGAAACGACTCCATTTTGTGGTTTCTTCCATTCAGCCGTGTTTAATTCAAATCGTTTCTTGTTCCGTATGCCAAATGAAAAATCATCAGCCACACTGTCTCCAGAAATCAAATTGCTTTTAGCAATTATATCTGGAACTCCTTTCCCATCCCAAGAAACAGTTCCGTAGGAACCACTTTCATAAAAAAGAATACCACTTGCCAAAACCTTTGGAATGTGTTCTCTTAAAGGTGACTTGACTTTGCAAAGTAGACTATAGAACTCCAGCTGCAAAGACAATAGAATAAATGGAAGGCATGCATATGGCAAAGAAACAATATATGATGGTTAAGGAACAATCTCGAAACATAGGAGCATACCTCTGTGCCCAAACTGTTAACAGAAGCTTCCAAGCCTCCTTCCACATAAATCTTTATAACGTGTTCCCCAGCAAAGTAAACCTGTTAAGAGTGAAATTTATAAAACAGTCATGAGAAAATGGTAACATGAATCTTATATAATGTGATTTTTCAACATGCAAATTGAAGTCAATGAATATTCAAGGAATTAATTATTTCAGTGAGAAAATGTTGGCACTGGCATTTCCTACAAACTCTGTTTAGACAGTCATCACCATTTACTGCAATTTATCAAACTTTGGGAACTTACAGTGCCAAAAAACAACTTACCGGGTTACTCCCTGTACTAACAGGAAGCTTCTCATTCTCCAATGAAGACGAGAGCAAATTATGTGAAGCACATATTTTCATTGCTCGCTCCAACCACTTATCAGCATCTAATGATATGCATGCACCCTAAAAAAATAACAAGTTACGTTAGTCCTTAACAGACCAATAAAACCCATGATGGCTGTGGCAAATGAAATACGATTTGAAATACGTACCTTCCAAATCATTTCCTTCATCCCTGGTTTTAAAACCCAAAGTTTGAGCAACCATTCCCGAAATTCTCTTTGACCAATGCAATTGCTTGGACTCCAGATTGAATTGTAGTGATCTCTATGTGCCTCGAGAAACATGGATAAGAAATCTACAGTATAAGAATATTCTTGAGATTTCAATCCATGGGGTTGTGATTCTCCTTCTCCATTGCTCACAACTTTGTCATTTCCATTTTGGTAAAATTTGCCATTCCCAACAATTGAATCAGGTCCATTGTCGCGATGCTCATGACGACTGGTAACTTTGAGCCTTTTCTCCCTCCTACCAGTGTCCAAGTCATTAAACTGCTCTGTAACACAAGATGGGCCTATTTTGCTGGTCCCGAAGCTGTTTTCCTGAATAGCAATCATTCCAGCACGACAAACTCCTTTATGACGATAACCCGGAGCCATATCAAGACAAACAAATCCAAAATTTTTTGTATTAACAAAGTTCTGAGTGACAGCAATCGAAGTCTCTAGATTTAGCACACAGTGCCACCACCCACTAGGAACAAATATTGTTTCTCCAGGTAATTGTGTGCACTCCAATGGCTTGTCTTCATCCGCAAGAAGGGGATAAATATCTAGCCACCACTGATAAAATGAAGAAAAACATGAAAAAGAAGATAATTTTATGGGGCATGCATTAGAGGCTAACTTCTAATATTAATGAGTGAGGAAAATAACAAAAACAGGACCACCAGATAAAAAGATTAATCAGGAATGACAAGGTAAGCATACTACCTGCAACGATGATGGACACTCAATGTTGATATCACCATCTTCCTCACTTACGTTTACTGTAACTCCTACAGGTACTTTACCAGGTGGATATAATGCCCACCTGTGAAAAAATACCAGAAAAATCGTTCAGAATACAAATCTTTCGAATATAAGAAGCAGACCCAGAAAATTCCTCACTTATTAAAAGGAAAAGGAAGATCACTTGGAAATTTTAAAAAAAACTAAAAACACTGTTAGTATTTGAAAAAGGTGTTTTAAAACAAATGTATGGAACATTACAATTTGATAGGGCATTTTCAAACTTAAATCATGGCTTAGGTAAAAGTTTTTGTCCCACGTGGCCTAGAGATAAGCTTCTCGACGGCTTTACAAGTGGGAGATGGGGGCTTGGAAGAGAGAAACATTTGTGCACACACGTGCAATTGGTTGGTTGAGCCAACCCGAGCCAGGTCATGGCTGCAGCTGAGTTTTGTCCCTAATTCTATCTTTTAGCTGGCCAAACTTTTGAGCAACCTTTAAAGTGGTTAGGATAGATAACTTCACTTCCACCCATGGTTTGGTGTTTGTGAGCTGACTTAGAACCTCAGTCTTTTTATATGAAAGACCTAACTATTGGCTGTGATTACGACGTTTCATCATGGTTAACTACATTTTGTGAGTTTTGATTGCGGTTAGGGGTTTTCGCGCGGTTACTTTCTCTCCACCACCCAAGTTCTTTGTCACATGTCCCACACATATAGATGCATGATTGCCATGTGCCACCGTTTCAACAGCCAATAGTTATTCACCATGTTTATCCAAGTTCCATTCATATATGCTCCAGTTTGGAATTGATTTCAAGTCTCCTGTTTATCTGTTCTTGCTTTTGCAATGGTTAACTGATACAAAACAATCTCTTGCCACAGTCAAGTGAAAAGCCTCTATTTCTTGGAGTTGACCTGACATAACTTTTTCAAACCTGGACCAAATCAAACCTTGTCCCAGGCTAGCTCCATTTCAGGACAAATCAGCAAGAGACTGTTTCCTTTAGAGATATTTCTTGAGTATGCAACACAGAGAATCCTCATATTGCTTCATTGGGCTTGGTTGCATCTTGAACACATTTTCACCATGACCCAATTGCATCTTGGGACTTTCCAGTCAGAGGCATTAAATATATTGAAGAAAAAAGTACATCTCATGGCTTTGCATCCAACAAATGAAGCAAAGGGGTCATTTAAGTCTCGACGGAGTTCACATTGCCCTATTGGAACTTGGAAATCTAAACAGTGGAGGGCTGTTTGGAATGTAGACTTTCACCTCAGCTGGTCAAGTAGTTTTAGGACTTGGTGATGCATTTTAGACCTTGTGCATTTATATTAGCCTTGGTTGTGCATCTTCTTCTCGGTTAACCACATTGACCATGCTTATGCAGTCATAACCACAATTATGCTGTTTTGAACATGGTTAAGCTTGTACTTCGGTCCAAAAGGAGTTTTTAGGGCTTACAAGGTCCCAAAAGGCAACAAAATCTGGGGGACATAATTCAAGAAAAGAAAAGGAGAGAGAGAGAGAGAGAGAGAGAGAGAGAAGAGAGCGAGAGAGAGAGAGAGAGAGAGAGAGAGAGAGAGAGAGAGAGAGAGAGACGACGACGTAGTAGTAGTACGTACGTACGTACGTTAGTTACGTTACGTAACGTAACGTAACGTAACGTAAGTAACGTAACGTAACGTAACTAACGTA